CCTTGTCACTATAGCATTTTTAATAATGTAAACCTTGTATATTTCCTTGTACTTTATATTAAAAAAAAAATCAATCTGCTTATTGTAAAATCATAGCACGGGGTGTCTTAGCTAAAAAACAGGGAGATGATGGATCGAAACCCAGAAAGCACTGACTTCGTGTGCAGATCACTGAATAAAAAGGATGATGCCAAAAATGGTAAAATAAAAATAAACGGAGGGGACTCGGAGTAATAATTAAGGCCCTAAACTTTGGTAGAGTTTATTATTGAGCTCCTAACAAATTAGACAAGACAAGGGTTAGGCCGATGAACAACATACCAGCTACAAAAATGAAAAGAATTTGTTTAACCTGCATCCTAATTGTAGAGATTAAAGGTGTTTTAAATATATTTTTTATAATTAATTTATACAAAATAACAAAAGTTAATTTTTATATTATTATCAATGTGACGTGAATTGTTTTAGTTAATTAATTAATTAAATTTAAATTAATTTTTATCAATTTTTATATAAATTAATTATAAAAATATATATATTTATTGTATTTGTAACATGTACTCTAAGAGCAAAAAATAAAAAAATCCAAATAAAAATTACCCCCCATTTTTAATTGTCCATGTGCGAGCATATTTGGTTTGAGTGAGGGGATGCATGAGAGCAGTGGCGAAATTAGGATCTATCATCTGTGATTGGATAGAGTCTACCGAATGTGAGTTTTTGTGGTTTCACTCTTATAAGGTTTAATATGTATCCATGGGCAAAAAATTTACTCACTACATTGTTCACTTTTCATAGGTAACACAATAAAAAAAAATCATTAAAAAAATTCTTAGATTATTTTTTCCTTCACTGTGTTTGCAGTGAACCTCCTTTACAACCTGCCTCCCTCTCAGTCAATTCAATCCCAGCCTCCTAAGGAAGTTTAGGATGTTTGATTATATTGTTTAAAATAAATTAGACGATGAATAAATTTAGCAAAATACATTGCTTGGTTGCCAAGAAGAGCCTAGAAAATTAACCAAAAAGAATAGAACAATTACATACCAAAACAGAGGCTTTTAGAGCAATTGACCAAGTTACTAGTATAAAAACATTTCTTCAACTGCACAGACAAAATCGAATTCTTGCTCTTCTTTCCCACCCCCTCTTTTTTTTTTTTTTGAACAAATTATCAAGGGACATGCTCGAAATCCGCTCATGAAAAGTGAAGAATGCACCTCAAATTGACAGACTGTCAGTTAACATGTCCCATAAAAAAAAAAAAAAAAACTAAAAATAACCTAGGGTTTTTTTTTAAAACTTTTTTTGCATACGTTTTTTTATTTATAATAATCGAATTCAAGACTTTATTGTAGGAAAATCAAATTGTTTTTACTCCAACCAACAGATGGCTACTAAAAATAATCTACGGCTTGATTGCTGAGAAACTATTAAAAAAAAATTTGTGCGGGAACTGCGGGAGAAGAAGAGATGGGAGGGGGAGGGGTAGGGGTAGGGGTAAGAGGTGAGAAAAACAGATTAGGTGAAAAGAAAGAGACATGTAATATGGTCGGCCCGTAGTCGCCCCATTTTCGCCCCATTTTCACCCTTGGCGGCTTGGCTTATCTCTCTAATTTCTTTTCAAGGCCCACGGTAGGGCCAAACCGTGGGCCTTGCTAAGACCGCGACTGCAGCGGCAGGAGCTCGCTCTTTTAAGATTTGCTTTAATTTTTTATGCATTATGGCTGGAAATTTCTTCCTCTATTAAAATTTCTGGGTTTCATTGAAGAAATAACTATCAATTATAAGGCTTCGGTTATTAGCTATCTGTTATATTTAAATCATTCTCCAGCCATACAAACTTTAAAATTTCAAAATTAACAAATTCCTTCCTCTTCGGCCAAAAAAAAAAAAAAAAATCTGCCTCTCCTAAAATTTCTTTGTTTCACTGATAAAATAACTATCAATCCTGAGACATTATTGGTTATCAACTATTCGTAATATTTAAATCATTCTTCTAAACCGTCCAAGAATGTCACTCCAAAAATTAAATTTTTATAACCCAAGTCAAATGGGTCAAACATAGAATAGAATAAAGTGGTTATCTGGAAGCCTGAAAGATTAGGGAGCCAATGTGAAGGAGGGAGGACTTTGACTGAAGGAGCATCCAAAATGGACGTCTTAGTCAAAATATAATTTCGAGCGTGAGGATTGCATAAAGCAGCTTAAACTTATGCTCTCCATTGTTGACCAGAATATCCTGTTTATCCTTCCATTTATACCCTTTGTTCTCATTCTCATGGTATCTTAGTTTCTTCCCTTTCTGAAGTTCCAACGACTCTCAGCCATGGAAGAAACTGTAGCAGCAGAGCTTCCGCTCACAGGTTAGCTTAAAATTGAAAAACACAACTTGGGTTTCCACTTCTTCTTCCTTCGTCGGTTGTCATTTAGATTTTAACTCAATTTTCTGGCTTGAATTGTTCTAAAGCGTGTGGTTTTATGAAAGAAATTGATATGGATTATGTGTTTCTTACCAGTTCAGGAGGCTGAAGAAGCAGAATCAACTGAAATAAAAGCAGCCCTCCGGAAAAGGTTGAAGTG